CACACACACACACACACACACAGCTGGCACAGTTCACACACACACACACAGCAAAGTTAGCCCAGTACACACACACACACACACACAGAGCACAGTGACCACAGTTACACACACATGAAGGACACAGTTCACACACACACACACACACACACAGCTGGCACAGTTACGAGCAGGATTGTGGAGGTGGGGGATGGAAACTTAACAACACCTGTCAACTCCAGGGGTCCCTGGGGCTCACTGAGGTTGCTCGGCCAGCGGCACCTGCCAGCCTATCTGTGAACCCCCCCTTGCTGCCCTCCTTGGAAACTCAAAATCCTGCCCTAAAACGGCACAGGCACATGAAGAGCCCACCTGCTGTCTTTGATTTCCCTTTCCTGACCCCTCTTCCTATCCTCTCCCTCCACACACCCTGTAATCTGGGTCACTTTCTCAAAAATTTAACACAAAATCCCTGGCTGGTAAACAAATAGTTAGCAGGCTCTGCTCCTAATCAAAAGGTTGGAAGTTCGAGTCTACTCCAAGGTGCCTTGACAGAACATTCTGATGATCTATCTCTAAGAGCCCCAGTTTCTGATGAAGCTTAGGGAGCCCAATTCTCTGACATATGGGCTTGCCTGGAGCCAGGACCCACACGGCAGCAGCTAGCTTAGTTAAAGACTTGGGAGAGTATTGAATTCGGGAGGTGATTTCATCGGAAGACACACTCAAGCAAAACACTAATTTAAATAGCAGCATATTCTTTTATGAGGCCTTTATAATGTATCAGAATCATTTCAGTGAGAAGTGACGAATCGACACTATTTCACCCGGGAGTCCATTCTCCCCCTGCCCTTCTTCACCTTTGGGGGGATGAATGGGCACCTTGATATCCTTGCTGAATAGTCATCTGGGACCTGGGAGAAGTGAGACCCCGGGGACAGAGCCCCCATCTGTTAAATGAGCTGCCGCCACCTGAGGTTCCTTCTGACCAGCGTTTCCGGAGCTTGCCGTGCCTCCCCTGAACATGAGCCCACCTGCCACTGACATTCTCCCGCCAAGCTTTGGTCTTGAAGGAACTTGCTTCTTCCTAAGCCACTGATACCATGCACATGCTCAGGGGAGGGAGGGACCTTCCACACTGACCCCCCATCTTCTGCACACCCCCATCGTCCAGAAGCTCTGCTGAAATCTTCCCAGGTGGATGGGTGGGGCTGTGCATGAAGGTGCTTGGGTGGGAATCAAACCCGGGTCTCCTGTATGGAAGGCTTGAATTCTACCAGTGCCCCTGGGTAGAGCTATTCAGATGAATACATGCTAAATCAGAACACCCTGGGTTCAAGGATCTGCAGGGAGGAGGTGGGAGAGGACCAGAGAGGCCGTGAGCCCTGCTGAGGAATTAGCATTTCCCACTGAGGCTACTGGGAGCCAACAGAGGCTGTAAGCAGGTGGTTGGCTTAGGTGTGGAGTGTTGAAAAAGATTGTGGAGTTTGGGTGGGAGAAGACAGGAAAGAGGAGAGCCAGACATCATGCGATCACAGGAGTTCTGGTAGGTGATGGGTGGTGGTGGTCTGGGCCCAGGCCGTGACAGGTGGCGGCAGGAACTCAGGGCAAAGCCTGGACCTTCACCCTAAAGCAGAGTGTACCCCAGCCCACCCACACCCCCAGCTGATGACCAGGCTCCTCACACCCCATGCTACCTGGCTGGTCCGGGCGATGCAGCGTCGGACCAGGTCCCTGATGTTGTTGTGCTTGTCCGTCTGCAGGTACACGGTGGCGCTGGACTTCTCCTTCAGGTAGGGCTTCTCGGCCGAGGCCCAGGTGCGCAGCAGGGCTGGCTCGCTGCCTTCTGAGGCCACAGGGAAGTAGGTGTCCGATGGCAAGGAGGCCATGTCCTGTCCCTTGAGGCCTGCCTCGGGCCCTGCCAGGGGCTCCGGGGTGCAGGGGGGCTCCTTGGCCTGGGCCTGGATGTAGTGGGCCTCCTCGGAGGACAGGAAGTCTACCTCACCTTCCTGGCTCAGTGCCCGCCAGTAGGCCTCCGGACCCCCATCCAGGAGGGCATCTGTGGCCAGCCGGGCACTCTCATTGTCACTGAAGTCGGCCTTGGCTGGCCGGGCCCACTGGTTCTTAACATCTTCCAGGCGTTTCCAGATCTTGCCCACATGCCTGGGCCGGCTCATGGTGCCCGTGCCCAGGTGGGAGAGGAGCTGGGCCAGAAGAGCCTCCTGGGATCCTGTCTCCACCAGAGGTGTCCTTCCCACCAGAGGTGTCCTAGAAGGAGCTCAGCAGTGGTGGCTGGCTTATCACCCGGGGCCACCGCCCTGCCCTCAGGCCGGCCTCTGCTCCACCTGGCACAGTCAGCTGTGACTTCCTTCCTCTAGGGCCTGGGCCAAAGCCTGCCCACTCAGCTGGCAATCTCCAGGAAGCCCCAGACCCCCAGGCCTTGGGACAAATTTAGGAGACCTCCAGAGAGGACGACTGTGCCTTCCTGTGTCCCCACTCACAAGCTGGTGCAAAGACCAGCTTGTTCCTGTGGGGAAAGAAAGACTGTTTCCTTAACCTGAAGGAGGGGGGCTGGAGGCAGGCCAGGGCTCACCCCTTCCCCGCCCTCCCCACAGTCACACCCTGAATTCCCACGCCTCCCTGTCCTCTCCAAACACTCTGTGTTGTGCTTGTCATTGTCTTCTTTGAATGTCGGCTAAGATCCCAGTGCTGGGGCCAGCGCTGACCCGTTAGAAGTGGCCACTTGAGTCCCCTGAGAAATGAAGGCCTGTGACATCATGTGGTCAGCCTGTCCCCAGGCTGGAGTGGGAGGTGGCAGTGTGCGGCTGGCAGGCTTATCTCTCTCCTGATCAGTTCACTAGCTGCTGGGGTAATAGGATTGAGGTTGTCTTTGGGTTTGGATGGAAACAGGATTGAGGACAAGAACAATCATTTGTAGAGTACCTAGTGATGGCTGATGTGCCCAGCTGCTGACAGACAGAAAAGATAGTCCATCCAGAGGTGCCTTGGAAGAAAGTCCTGGCAAACTCCTGAAAAACCAGCCTTGGAAAACCTGACTGGAACACGGCTCTGTCCTGATGCACATGGGATGAGATTGACTCCACAATGACTTTTATCTCTTGTATTTTAAGTCTTTTCGGAAGGTGACCCCAAGAAGTCCTGATAAGGGATTGGGGAGGAGAGGCAGGAAGGACAGTGGACAGACGTAAGGTGTGTTCCTGAGCAGGGAGGCTCCTGTTGGCACTGCTGGGAGATGGTGGGGGATCTGTCCTAGAGAACGCTGAGGCCCAGAAGGCTGGAGGGCTCCCCACTGGCCCCTGGATGTGGCTGCCTGTCCTCGAGTGCACCTTGGACAGCTCTGAAGCCACATCCCAGGGGCTAGAGGATGGATCATCACCTCAAGACGAGTGCAGATTGAAGGGGCACATAGGGCCCGGGACGCTAACGATGAGTCCTGTGGTACCGCAGGCTGAGCACTGGGCTGCTTACCATAAAGGGCAGCGTTTGAACTCATCTTTGTCTGGGAAAAGGTGAGGCTGTCTCCTACTGTTGAAAAGTGCAGCCTCAGAAAACCTCGGAAGGTCACCATGAGTCAGGATTGACTCAATGGCTTTGTTCTCAGCGTGTAACAGGAATTACGTCAGGAAACCAGGACTATGAGGTCTGCAAACATGTAAGGACCTTAACTGACTCTCTCTCTTCCTCTCCACCCTTCTCTCTCTCTCTCTCACTCTCTCTCTCTCACTCTCTCTCTCTCATCTCTTTCCATCTGTCTCTCTCTGGCATTTCTGCTCATTTGGAGGAAAGCAGCTCTAAGTTCCTATAACCTACCTGACTGCAGCCCACAGGCTCCCTCTAAAGAGGATAAATGTAATTTTAAAGGACTTTCACCTCCTGAAAAGCACAGTACAGACAGGGAAAAGGAATTTCTTCTCTCATGAAGGACACTGGGAATCAATTCATGACCTGGATTGGACAACACTCCTTTGCTTCATTTTCTCTTCTTGCTACAATATACAAAACCTCTGCTAGGACAAAGCCAGCAGCCTGGCATCTTGCTCTGGCCCTGTGCCCTTTCCTGCCTTCCTTCTGCCACCTCTTGCATGTGTAGATGGACTTAGCCTCTTCTGAAATGCCCTCCCCACCTACTCTCCTCTCTGGCCAAGTCTGTGTCCTCCTCGGCCCGCTCTCTGATCCCGCATCCTTCACTTGTAATCTCCCTCTAGTGCAAGAGAAGAGGGAGGGGAAGACTACTCCGTAGGACTGTCTTCGGTTCTTACATCTCAAAGATGCTTGACAGCTTCCACTGGTGGCAAGTTGAGTAATAGGTCCTGGGTCTAGAATTTGAGAACTGGCACAAAATGCCCCATGAAACAAAACAACTATGAGATATCATCTCACCCTAGTAAGAATAGCAACATTTAACAGAACAGTAAACATCAAATGCTGGCGAGGTTGCGGAGAAACTGGAACCCTTATCACTGTTGGTGGGAGTGTAAAATGGTGCAACCACTGTGGAAGGCGGTGTGGTGCTTTTTCAAAAAGTTTGAAATAGAGATACCATTTGACCCAGCAATTCTATTACTGGGAATATACCCCAAAGAAACCATAAGGCCACCCAAGTAGATATATGCAACATCCATGTTTATTGCTGCCTTATTTACCATAGTAAAGAGTTGGAAACAACCTAAGTGCCCATCAACAAACTAGTGGATAGAGAAGCTGTGGTATATTCACACAATCGAATACTATGCTACATTGAAAAACAAGGAACTCATGCAATATTATTCAAAATGGGTGACCCTGGAGGACATTATGCTGAGTGAAATATCTCAGTCACAAAAGGACAAATATTGCACACTGTCACTGTTGTACAACGGGACTGACATCGGTATTGGAGGGAGACTGTGAAAGATGGGTTCAATAATGTATACTGCATTGAAACAGATGAGGGAGAAAAGTGTTTAAAAGGAATATGTTATTAGGTATTTTTGTCATGGCAGGAGTCCAGAACAAAGGCTGCATAGTGGAGTGGACCTGGGGGGAGGGATTGTATAACAATGAAAGAATTTTTCTTTTACTTTTCAAAGAGAAGTGCGAACGGGGTGGGGAGAGAGAGTGGGCTGGGAGAAAAGTGTAACAATGAATGAATGGAAACCCTAAGTCACTGTAAACTTTCATTAAAATTAATTTAGAAAAAAAAGACCCATGAGAACACCCCAGTCTGAGCTCCCCTACATTGCGCCCCATTAAGTTCTCACCTTGTGTGGACTCAGTGCTGAAAGAGGAAGGGATTATTAGGACTCCCTGGATGAGTGAGGAAACCACAGCTCAGAGAGGTTGAGTAACTTGCTAATGCCACCCAGCCAGTAAGTGGTAGAACCAGACACTGTGATTCTAAAACCATGTGCTTTCCATGGTGCCAAATGTCACTCATCCCCTACCTGTCCCTTTCCTGTGTACTCTCAAAACATTACAAACCCTATTGTTAGTTCCAGGATGTTTGTAGGGGAGAATGAAAGAAGGAGGTGAATATTGTGGGGATCTCATCTGAGCCAATTCTTTCTGCCTTGAAAGTATGCCAAGCAGTGACATCACTAGGATTACTGTCATGCAGTGGTGTCATTCCCCCCCAGCCCAGGACTTCCTCCAGCGTCAGGCCTTCTCAATCCTTAGGCGTGATTATTAGCCATTTTAATAATAGAATAACAGGTGATCAATATAGTTGTAAACTGTTAAATGTAGTATTTCTTAGATATATGAATACTATCAACAAAATGGGGAGTTCTGGTGGCCTAGCAGTAAGAAACTGAGCTGCAATCCCAAAGGTAAGTTGTTCAAATCCACCAGCTGCTCCTGGGAGAAGGATGGGCAGTCTCCCACCCTGAGATTTACTGTCTCTGAAAACCTGCTGGATGATAAGCTATGGGTTGGTTCTAACGCAACTGTACCTAACAACAACTACTAAAAAGTTTTGTAAAGTCTTCTTCCTGCACTGAATGCTAACATTATTGGTGAGTGGGTGTAAGCCTTTTTTATTTTTCTCCTTTTCCTTTAATTGCTCCTTCATTCTAGGGGAAAAAAATCTATTGATAGAGGTTCACAAATAATAAGTACCACAATGCTGTAGCTAAAACATCAAAAACTTTTAGAAAATCAACAACTATAGGAACACCAAGACATATTTATATACGTCACAAACACGTCTTGGAGAAGGTGCAGCCAGAGTGCTCTTTGGAGGCAGGGATGAGGAGGTTTCACCTCACATACATCAGGTATGTGGCTAGGAGGGGCTATTCCTTGGAGAAGAACATGATGCTTAGAAAGTTAGACGGTCTGTGAAGGAGAGGAAGACTCTCAACCAAGTGGATTAACAAGGTGCTGCTGTAATGGGCTCTAGTGTGCCAGAAAGTGTGAGGATGGCACAGGATAGGACTGGGCTTGGATTTGCTGTTCATAAAGTCACATGGGTCGATGGCACCGAACAACCACAATAAAACATAGAAACAGCAGCATTAGTGAAAACAACAGCGTGTGCCTCTAACACATGCAGGCTTGTCTCCATGTCATTTGAAGTGTCATTGTCATCGACTAGTAGTGTCAGCTCTGACAGCAGTGAGAAGGTCCAAAGGGTGAATTGTTGTTGTTAGGTGCCCTTGAGTTGACTATGACTCACAGCAACTCTATGAACAACAGATGAGACTCTTGCCCTCGCCTGAGCTATCCCCACCCTCCCTGACGTGCTCGAGTTCTTGTTCCACCGTGTCAGTCCACCTTGTTAGGGGTCTTCCTCTCTCTCTGACCCTCTACTTTTTCCAGCATGATGTCTTTACCCAAGGACCTGCCCCTCCCGGCGGAGCTGAGCCGTATAGGTATATGGATTCATGAAAACTCGGATTCCAAAGTATGAAAAAAAATGCTTTTGTTATTATAACTAACTGCTGGGATGTTTTTATGGGAAAAGCATACATTTCAGTGGAAACAATGCATAAAATCTTATAGATAGTCATTTTTATATCACTCCCTCCAACAGTGTAGTCCACACTTTCTGTATCCTCCTCCCCCAGGAAGGCCACTAATGACTAACGTGGGTCTAGCCTCTTTTCTAGGGCTCAGAAGTCTCATCAAATGCCCAGGTGTGGAAAGGTAACGAGGTCCAGGTCAGCAGGATCCCCTG